GCTTAAAGGTCTGTAGTTGAGTTTGAACTGGAGGCAGCCTTTCGTCCTGGTGAATAGCCTGCCAAGCGCACCCACAGCAGCTGAGCTGGAGCAGCTCGAGCCTTGAGCTAGCAGAGCATCTGCGGAAAATAGAGCTAAGTCAGCAGAGGTGTATGGAGACTCACTAAACTTTGCGACCAAACAATTGAAAAATGAAGGATATGGATGTATGTTATGAAAAGTGCTCTGCCATTTTAAGTGAGGATAGTTTTATTAAACCCAACACTTCAGAGGATGAGAGAAAATTTGCACTGATGTAGTTTGTGAAAGTAGCAAAGGAATCAAATGAGGCTTTATTACACACAAATTCCAGAATAACTCAGGTCTAAAGTGTAAAAAGCAACTGCTGTTTTCTATGTACAGATTATGAAACAGACAGGTTCTCAAAGGATGAATCAGAGAGATATTGTACATCTGAAAAGTCAGGCTTCTTTCAAGCTAATTTTTCCATACCCACATTGGCCAGAATATTGAAATCTGATGAAACAATGTGGTACTTTATTTTGTCCTGTTGTGTGTTTTAGTTAATGTATTTTAAGACAAAGGAAAATCAATATGTTAATAGGGTGGTATAAAAAGCATTAACAAATGCACAATTGGGTGCAAGTGCACCGCAGTGACACAGAATGATTTTCACTGCAGCAGAATCTCTGACCAGATCCACCCAGAGAGTACAACCACATAGTAAAAATTATTTAGGGAAGGCTTTCTCCAGTGTGATTAAAAAGCCTTGCATGCGCTTCTCCATTTTTTGCTCCCAGCTCCTGGGCAGGATCAAAAATAAAATAATCTGTATTTTTTGTCTTGGTAAAACTGAGGATTTTTAGGACTAATAAACCTGCATGTGCGACAAACTAAGCAGCAACTAAGGTCCCTTGCAGCAACCCAGGCTGAGGCGGAGCTCTGTGGAGGACGCCCTGGGGCCATGGTGGGCAACAAGCTGGGCATGGCCAGCAGTGGCTCTGGCTGAAGTGAAGGCCCGTCGTGTGCTGAGCTGTATGGACAGGAGCATGGCCAATTGGTCAAGGGAGGTGATATCAGCACTCATGAGACAACAGCTATGTAGTTTGTTTGGTTTTGGCACCCCCAGTAGACAGCCATAAACTGGAGGAAGTTCAGATGAGGGTAGAGGTGCCCAGGGATACAGCACCGTCCTGCCCTGCAGGCTGAGGGACCAGGGCTGGTTCAGTGTGGAGAAGACACAGTTGGGGGGGGTATCAAACAGGAGCCCCCCCCAAAACCTACAGGAAAGCCACCAAGAAGATGGAGTCAAACTCTTTACAGCAGTGGATGGTGGGAGAAGAGACATGAGTCGAAACACAAGTAGTTCAAAATAGATAGAAGGGGTAAAAAATCATGTTGAGAGTAATTTAGCAGTGGAGCAGGTTGCCCAGAGAGGCTGTGGGAAATGTTGGAGGGTTTCAAACCTCGACAGGACAGCACAACCTTGCCTGGTGTCATGACTGACGCTGCTGTGACCAGCAGGCTGGACCAGAGACCTCCTCAGGACCCTTCCAGCCTGATTTACCCTGTGATTCTATGGTCATTTCTAAAGACAGACTGCAAAATCTTCCTAAGCAATCAGTATGCCATTCTTATCACTCTAAAGTTTTCCTATTGTCTAATGTGAATCTCTTCTACAATGTAAGCCCATTAATTCAATTTTTTTCCACTACAAATACATATCTCCCTCTTTAGAACAGCTTACTTTGAGGATTGTTACCATGCCCTTTCAAGTTCCCTTAGAAGCTTTTCGGATGCTAAATATTTCATGCCATTAAGTGCCACATTTCAATTTGTTCTAACTTTTGGGCAAACATATGTGCCAGTTTTCTTGGAGATTTCTGAGTATGCTTAAAGCATGAAGTTTAATATAGCAGGAGTACACTCAGCTAGCTTTTAAAATTTTGTCTACCCCATATTTCACTGACTGTCATAGTAAAAATTTCCATAGTGCGTATTTTCTCATCATCCCACAGTTCCTAGGCTATGTATTATCTGACTGTGCAACGCTTAAGCTGCTTCTGAAGTGAAATAGCCATGTTTTCTTTCTTGCCTTTTTGCTAACAGAAATGATTAAACTATAATTCTTATGGTAGCTCATTCTCCTCAGTCACCTATGACTGAGCTCTACGACTGTTCTGAATTTGCATGTTTGCAGCTCTTAGGTACAAGTTTATTCGCAGTGGAACAGCATTCTGCTAGCTTCCTCTGTTCTCATTTCTTGCTAGCTACTTTGGTTTTGTTTGTTTTCTCAACAGCATGAGCTGCTCGCCCATTTTTCTTTTTCCTCAGAGGGTTTTCCCTCATATATAAACACATACACCGATGTTCTCTGAGACTGCTCTTCTTTCCATTCCTTGAATTGTGCTGTCAAAGAAACAATTTTGCTTCAATGCCTCAGGATGAACACTCTTGTTTATCAATCTTTCCTATATTTAAACAGGTCTCTGAGAGTGACAGTGACTACAGCGTAGGACAGTTGGAAGGGGCAAAGCTGCCTCCTGCCTGAAGCCTCTCCTGGGTAGGCAGAGCTGTGACAGCTCTCCACTTTGCCTCGGGATCAGCATCCCTATCTGCCCTGGTTTATTCTGCTTATGGCATGGCAGATGAGGAAGAACAACACCTTCATCCAACATATTATGTAAAGACAGATGTTTTCACTTTACTGAGACGTTAGAACTAGGACAGACTAGGATGCCCTGGACAATAAGGATAACAAAGTCAGGGTATGGTTGAACAGCAAAATTAAGACATTAGTGCAGCATGGGTAGCCACAGCTTTGATCTAACTGGCACAGGCAGCGAAAGCATCAAAGATGCAGAAGCACAAAATTCAATGTGGGCTGGAAACCAGGGTAAGGTCATGGTAGCTCCACTCACATCCATACCTCTACAGCATCACTGCTATTCTTCTCATGCTAGACTGGTAAAGGGCAACTTAAAATCCTGCCCCACAATGCAACCACTCCTGTTGCAGTGAAGAAATAGCTTGACAGCTCTCCTTATTCAGTAAGAAATCCCTCTGTTTTTTTCTGGATTATCTCCTATCCAGATAACATTGCAACAGGCAAATTCATTAACCTGGCACCATTAGGGCACTTGGACAAGGTTTCGTATTAAATCAGCCAATTCTCCTAAGAACAAATGCAGCAAATTTTGAAGTGTGTTCCACACGTACTTTTTATATATCTAGCCTTGGTCTGAAAAGTAACAATATCCTAGACTGTCTTCAACATTTAGGGTTCCATTTTTTAGTGTTTGTTTGCTTAAATCTCACTAAATACCAAAAGAGATCTGTACATGCTGTGTACCTAATGAGCTGCTACTGATGGGAGGACAAATTAATCTTTACATTTATTTGAATGAATTCTAAAATAACTACAGCTTGCAACCCTGTGAAAGCTTTACCATATCTGTTATTTAATAATAATGACAATATTTGTGGTCATACTGTTTACAGGCAGTTTTTTTTCACGGGGAATTGACTTCAGGGATCACAGTTTTCTTACCTTTGATGTGCATTTGCCACTTAAAAATGTTGTGAAGGTGCTGCACAAACTTTCTTTTACATGTAGCATGTCTCCAGTCAAATGTCATCTGCTGTGAGATAAAGATTAAAATGAAGGCAGACTGAACATGAACACTCCCTGTTTACCGAAATGTACTCTTTGACCTGAAATGCCAGTGGAAAAATGCATTGAAGTGGGGCACATGCTCCCAAAGAGTTAGAAACAAAGCATACCTGGTGCTATTGCTGAATAAGCTACAGAAACACCTTAGATGTCACTCAGGAGTGTTGTCCAGTTGTAGAGGAGATAAATTCCCTAACTACTGAAGAGATGGCACTTTTAGAGTAATTGACTCTCATACACATACATACCGGTGTGTCTCAACAATGAGTTGAGGAGACTTGTTTTAGGAACAGATGAGTATTTCAGTTTGTACAATTAGTTTGGGCCTTGGCTGTGCTGAAATACCATTTCCCACATGCAGCTTTTTATTTCTGGGGTATTAGTCCAGTAGGAATAATATTCACAGTGTTAATTTAGAATAAGTCATGAAGTGATGAAGGTGGTCTTCTGTTAGCAGTCCAGGCTGGATTACAAATCCTAAATTTACTACTGAAATAAATAATTCTGTAACCCACTGCAAGTCTTCATAAATTATTACAACTAGTATGCCATCACTTTTATCATATTCATTTCTCTTATTGGGAAAAATATTACAAAGTGCACTCTCCACATGTACCTATATTAATATATATCTTGTTGTTTCTGTCATTCTCTTTCCTAGATTTTTCCCTCTAGCTGAGCAACAGACACACTGAGAAACATGCCTGAGCAAAGCAATGATTACAGGGTGGTTGTGTTTGGAGCTGGAGGAGTGGGCAAAAGTTCTTTGGTCTTGAGATTTGTGAAGGGCACTTTCAGAGAGAGCTACATCCCTACCATCGAAGACACTTATCGGCAGGTGATCAGCTGTGATAAGAGCATATGCACTTTGCAGATAACTGACACTACAGGGAGCCATCAGTTTCCAGCCATGCAACGTCTTTCTATTTCTAAAGGACATGCTTTCATTTTGGTTTACTCTATCACCAGCCGACAGTCCTTGGAGGAACTCAAACCAATCTATGAACAAATATGTCAGATTAAAGGAGACATAGAAAGCATTCCAATAATGCTGGTGGGGAACAAAAATGATGAGAACCAAAATCGAGAGGTGGACAGCAGTGAAGGAGAAGCCATGGCTAAGAAGTGGAAATGTGCCTTCATGGAGACCTCTGCCAAGCTGAACCACAATGTGAAAGAGTTATTTCAAGAACTGCTAAACTTAGAGAAACGCAGGACTGTGAGTTTACAAATTGATGGCAAAAAAAGCAAGCAGCAGAAAAGGAAAGAGAAACTGAAAGGCAAATGTGTGGTGATGTGAAATTGGACTGTCAGGAGTCAGTCATGCAGTCTCACCTGTCGACAATACCCATGTAAAAAATAGACAGCAAACCACCATATAAGATCCTATTTATTAGTATCTGTTTTAAAAGAAATATTTGGAGTTTGAAAAAATTAGTTACTGTGGTTACTATGAAAAAAAGCCAACAATTAAAAAAATCATGTACTCTAGCTATCAGTGAAAAAAAATCAGGAAGTAGAAGAAAGATGGTCCAGGATATCTAATTTTGTGGTTTACAGAAGACAAGAAATTTCAATCTTAGAGTAATGTGGAAGATTTGGGAAGTCAGCTTCATATTCTTTATGGTTGCATATAACTGCAAGAGAAGGCAATGTATACTGTTAGAAGAAAAAGAAAGAAATGTCCATGAAGAAACCTAGAACGTATAAATGCATGCTGGGTGGCATTATTACACCCTTTAAGAATGCTGTGGACAAATAGTTCTGTGCAATTTTCATTACTGACTGGTGGGACAATGTGCATAAGGTACTCTTGGATCTGCTAAATAAACGAACTATTTCTCACTAAAAGGAAATGTGGGGGTAGCACAGTTAATAGGAACAGACATTCTCTCTACCCTGCCAGCATGAGATTTCGTTCTTATATGGTGGCGGTGTTTGAACTGAAAGATGAGGAAAAGCCAGCCCCTGTACGAGAGATGGAGATCATCTCCTTTTCTGGACCCATCGCTTAAAGAATGACCTGTGCGTCTGGCCCCAGTATATTTCAGAAGAGCAGATGTTTGCCTGTGGAGAATATCAGATCGTATAAAAATGGTGTATGTACATAAACAGAAAGCTTCCACAGGGAGGACTGGCTGGGGAGTCTCCTACAAAAACCTCTATGGGAATGGCTCAGTTCGAACGCTGCTGATGGTTAAATAAACACACAGTGTGATTAGTGAATGAATGGAAAGTCTATTGAACTGGAGGTACCATTGGAGAAGGGTTGGTGTAGTATATACATTTTTTATTCAAATTACCCGATTAGTTGAGTGAGATTCTTTATGTTACTATATTCCAATTAGAACGGTTTTGCATTCATGCACTACTAGACATATTGCCTTTATATTGTCTGAAGAGTTTTATATTTACCATTTAAACTCATGATTTGAACTGCTGTGACTATTTATAGAACCAAACCCTACATCTGGAGTTAGGGCCCACAGAAGTCTCTAAAAGAAGATTTGCTGTGATAAGTACTATGGAATTTGGCATATTAAGAGTTGCAGTCAGTACTGTGTTAGAATGCAATACAAAGTTCAGAATAGAAAAAAACTGGTTCAAACCACTCTGTCAGGGGAGACTGCTCTTCTCACAGCCTTTGGAAGGGGGAAAAGTGTACAAAATGTGAGCTTTTTTGTATCTCTTTCCAAAGCTTTTCGAAAATATGAATGAGTAAAGTATGTGTCCTACTGATAACAAAGACCATCTAAGACAAAAGAAGCACATACATTTTTTAAAGGACACATCAAAATTGTATAAGCTACAATTTGCACCTTAGGAACTGCTTTGAAATAATAAAAACAAACCACCATGTTTTTGGTAAATGTTTATGTCAAAATCATACTATGGGAAAATGCAGTTAAGTACTAGTATTATTAGTACGCACGTTGTTGCATTGTAAATATCTTCTAGGAGCTGTTCAAATGCAGTATTTGCATTAAAACTGTTACCCTGTTGCTCTCAGACCTATTGCTTGCTTACCTTCCACCTTCCGTACAAAAGAGCAGACATTTTCAGGTAGGGCGATAGTATACATTTCTTTGAGCAAGAATTGTTATTAGCACTGTCTAGAAAGGAGCACAACTTTTGTCATTCACTCAGAAGAAATTCTGAGACTACTAAAATCCAGAGTAAAACTCCTACTGATTTCAAAGAAGACAGAATTTTTTGTGTTTACTTCATTACATTTAGCAGAGAAAATTGGAGAGAGCGTGAAAAAAAGCTAAGGCTCTTCCTTAGCAATACATTCCTGGTTCTTACATGATGCTTTTCCTCCATAAATCTCAAAGCACTTTACAAAAAGGACAGCATCGTTATCTTCACTTTGCAGGTGGTGAAACTGAGGCATGAAGAGAGGATGCAACTGCACATAGGTTACCCAGCAGGCTAGTGGCAGACCCAGGAGCAAAAGTAGATCTTCTCAGTCCCAGTCCAGTGCTCACTCTGCGTTTGGGCAGACTGCCTCTTCACAGTCTTAAATAGTTTCTAAAACATGCAAAGAATCTTGGTATGGCTTAAATGTCTAGGTGCATCTTTTTCTTGTCAGTCTGTCAATAAATCAAACCATATTTCCAGACCAAGGATGCAAAACATTTAGTAAGACTTTTATACATGTTTATACATCTACTGTGTTTGTAAGCAAATGGCTGAAGATACTCCTCTTCACAGCATTCGATTCCACTAATGAAACTGGAAAGTCAAAAGAATGAACATACTTAAGGAGTAACGGGTCACATACAGAGGTAAGCAGTACAGAGGTCTTCTGCTAATGTTAATATGCCAGAGCCAAAGGTCATCATGCGTGGCACACACCTAAGCAGCCAGCATAGAAAAAAAGGCCATATAAAGACAAAGTTCCTTTTAACATCATTACTTAAACAAGAGGAATTATTTACATAGTAAAGAATCTTGCAGAAGTGGAATATAGGGGATCTGAATTAGACTAGAAAGGTTATGAATGCAAGGATATTACAGGCTGAAATTTGGCCCTGGAGTTTTTTTGAACATGCCTCATAGCAAGAAAAGAATAATTGTATGGCAAAGGTGGAAATAAAACAATTAGCTGCCAGTTGATAGGCTTCAGGACCATTTCCCTTAATTCCCAATTGATTCCTCACCTGCTACACAATAAGCCATGAATTATTTCATGAACTTGCATGTATCAAAGCAAGGCCAGTAGTGAAGCAATATTACTCATGGACCACAGACTCGAAAGAGAACTTATTTTATACCCTTCCATTGTCATCCTAGTTTATACTACTAGATTTTACATATCTTACATATTTGTGAGCTGGTTTAAAACATTTGTTTTGCTATTACTAATACAATTATTTTTTTTAATACAGGGAAAAAAACTATAAGGTAAATAAAGAAAATATACAGTATGTGTTTTCTTTGAGAATGTGATATCAGTACAATAAACTCTTTAAAATGTACAGAAAAAACATGACATCTTTAACAGACATAAGATCTACAGTGAATTTTAGCACCTAGAAAACATGATCTGGACAAAATGACTCTTTACAACGCATGATTTTTATATGTATACATGAAATATTAAGATATATAGTTACCATGAAAATATGTTGTTGCAATTTCATTAGCAAACATTTTATTCAAAAACTCTGGATATGAAGTCATTTGTGCCTACAAATTTCTATGTTTCCGGTGATGTTCTGGACATAAAAAATAAAGTTTTAAATGGAAACGCAAGTTTGGAAGAAGCTTTATTGGTGCCTGCATTGTGTTTGTCTCATAAGTACATTAAGTATGTATTTTTTAAACGTTGTGAAGGCAATTCTCTAAACCAAAATAGAGTCTTACGTGTTAGGTAGTGTCCTAAAGTCTTCAGCTATACAAATCAGACTCTTCAATCGTCCTGAGAGAATTGGAGCAGTATTATTTTATCTAACCTTTCTTTTATTATACAGTGGCAAACACCTACACTTTCAAAGCAATCTACCTTCATAAAACACAGATTGTCAGTGGTGTTTCTTTTGACCATCAAAAAGCAAAACAAAAAAAAAATAAATTTATTATTTACTTTAAAATAATGACAGATAAAACTTGGTGCTTGTGAAAAGTTGAAACTCACTATATTGGTCCTGTTATTCCTCCTTATTTCTATGAAATTCATGATGTTTTTGCAAAATCTCCTACTACTGCATATTGTATTACCACCTGTTGCAAAAAATGTGAATATAATACTTTAACACTTCTTGCAATTCAGAAGATGTGGTAACAGTTGTTCAGTTAAATAATCATTTCTGATGTAAGCAATAATTCATACTCAACAGAGTCAACAAGGAGGCTTGAATACTCAGGGACATTTGTAGACATTTGAACCAGTGATGAAATATTGAGTATTGAATGCAAATTTCATATCACTGTGAAGTAATTAGACATGGCAGTCCACAAAAGTTTTTATTTTTAGTAAAAGACACCACAGAACTCCGAATAATTCCTATTCCAGATCTCTCGATTCAGGTCCTTCCAGGTTTTGGAGTTTGGTGGGGTTTTTTTGGTTTTGTGTGGGGTTTTTTTTTTTTTTTTTTTTTTTTTTTTTTCCTAATACACCATCATTTACTATGTTTGGTCCTGATTCTGACATGGCCTACTGTGGAATGGTGGACGTGTCAAGTCAGTGTCCTGGGGTTTGCACAATATGGTCAGTAATTGTTTTACAGATATTTGCCTTATCATATTCCACAGGAACACCACAAGCATTACGAAATTTGCCTACCTCTAAATTTTTTTGTCATTGGTTATTATTCCTGTTTCCCACTGGAAAATATTTTTATTGTTAACATATACCCTCATTCAAAGTTGTGAATGCATACTTGTCACATTTAGTTCACTGGCATTTTAACTGGCATTTTAACTGGCATGTCCCACCCACCTTCTATGTACATTTTTCTAATTAATCCACAAGTTTGTTTCATGTAGTCAGTGGTGTCTAAAGTCCAGTTCCACTAAAACTGGAAAGAGAGGGAGAGCAGAGCTTGAGCACCTTTGAAAATATACACCTGTATGCTCCTCGTGAAGGATAGACTCGTCTCTAGATTAACCAGAGGAATATGGTGCTTAGAGAAAGCATTACGCCTCTTCTGTTTCATATAGTTTGAGTTGGGGAAAGTACTGAGGTACCATTTACTCTAACATGTATCTGCTTTACAGCTGGTTTTGCTCAGTGCTGTTGTAAAGACCCTTTGACTCTGGTACTTTCCTTCCTTATTCGGTTCAGTTCCTGCTGCT